GCCGCTCCGCGGCATGTGGGATCTTCCCGGACCGGGGCACGAACCCGCGTCCCCTGCGTTGGCAGGCGGACTCTCAACCACTGCGCCACCAGGGAAGCCCAGGCTTTTGTCTTTGATGGGTGGGAGCAATGGGGACTGGGGGAATGTGGGCCCTGGGCATCCCACGCAGGCACCTTTGTTAGATAGTCCTTGTTGCTTCCTGATCATAGGTCACGGATCCAAGTCCGAGCTGAGTGGGACACATGAGGGGGAAGAGATGAGCCTAGGAGACGGGGTTCTTCACACAGGCCCATAGGAGTGTCCCAGACTGTGTGGCCTTGGATAAGTGGCTCATCTCTGAGTTGGGAATAATAAGCCCTGCCTCGGGATCGTTGTGGGGAGCAGGTTAGGTAAGGTGTGCAGAGTATAGTAGGGTGCCTGGCACGTAGTGGGTCTTCAACAGATGAGAGAGCTACTATAATGATATGTGCTGTTACGCCACCTGAGTTCAATCATCTGTGGCACAGTATAAGGTATGTGTTGCGGGGTAACAACTCACCCCAAAACTTAGTAGCTTAAAACAACCGAAGTCATTTTTTCCACTCTCTTGGTTTCTCTGGTGCAGAAATCTGAAGCTTGGCTGGGCGGTTGTGGCCCAGTGCTCTCAAAAGGTTGCAGTCAGAGCGGCCGAGGCTGCAGTTGTCTGAGGGCTCGGCTGGGGTCACAGCATCCACTTCCAAGGTGGTTCACTCACCTTGGAAGTGGCTGGCAAGTTGGTGCTGGCTGGGGGCCTCTGTTCTCTCTACACGGGCCCTCCACGGGGCTGCTTGAGCACCCTCATGCCGTGGTGGCCGACATCCCCTAGAGCAGGTTTCTCCAGGAGGGCAGAATCTGGGTCTGCCTTGGTCTTTGCTATATCTCCAGAGCTTGGCCTGGCTCCGAGCATTCTGTGAGGGTTTGAAAGACTGAGAACTGCCTTAGCTATTCTGCCCTAGTCCCTTGACGTTGTTCTGGAAGGTCTTTTCATGCCTCTGCCTAGGTCGACAGCAGGCTCAAGGTCTCAAAGAGGATTCCAAGGTTGCGGAAAGGAAGAATCAGGGAGAGACAGCCGCTAAGGCTCAGGGCCCAGCTGCCCTTCCTTCCCGGAAACTCTCCTTCCAGAGCTTGACCTTGGGCTTCTGAGAGCGTTCTGAGGGAGTCCATGTTCATGAAAACCCAAATAACTGTCCTACCAGGCCGAGAGCTGTGCAAACCCTGAGAGAAGAAAGTGCATGGGAAGGAGCTCACATCCCACTGAGGGTAACCTAGGGGCCGGGGTTTCCAGCTGGGCCAAAAAGGACGGGTCAAAGTTGCTGTCCTGTTTAAGTAGCAGATGCAAAGGCCCTGAGGTGCAGGGGCAGGTTCTGGGGCCTCTGAGCAGGAGGCCGGGCCCGATGAGGCCGAAAGATGGTGGAAGCAGAGCAGTGGGGTAACAGAGGCAGCCACGAGGAAGAGGGGGCTGGGTTGGGGAGACTGAAGTGGTGAGCCTGCAAATTTCCGGGCAAAAGTGAACAGGATCTGAGCCAAGGCGGCAGCTCTGGGAAAGGGATGTAAGGAAAGGGAAGAGGCAGTTTCCAGAGATATTTAGATGTAAACTTAACTGGATCGGGGCTTCCCTGGTGGCGCAGTGGTTGAGAGTCCGCCTGCCAATGCAGGGGACACGGGTTCGTGCCCCGGTCCGGGAAGATCCCACATGCTGCGGAGCAGCTGGGCCCGTGAGCCATGGCCGCTGAGCCTGCGAGTCCGGAGCCTGTGCCCCGCAGCGGGAGAGGCCACAACAGTGAGAGGCCCGCGTATCGCAAAAAAAAAAACAACAAACAACTTGACCGGATCAGATAGCCAGATTGGGTTAGAGAGCAGGAGGCAGGGATGGTGGATGAGTGGTTTTCCCTCTGAACATTCTTTCTCTCTGATGTTCAGAGGCAGCCGTGCTGTAAGGAGGCTTCAGGTGTTTGCTCAGTGTCCTGGGGCCAGAAAGAGAACCCAGCAAGCCTGGGGCCCGGCAGAGTGTGATGTTATTCACATGGGGGGTCTGGCTGTGGAGGCCCCCACTGCTGCTCATCTCCCAGGCAACCTGCCCTGCGACCAGCTGGATGTGTAGGCTACCAAGCCCTTGCACATATATCACTGTCTCATTTAATGTTCCAGGGGGGAGTTGTTATTCCCATTCTACAGATGAAGCAACTGAGGCTTCCAGGCTCAGAGAGGTGTGATATGTTTTCTAAGGTCAAAGAGGTGGCAGAGCCAGGCCTGGAACCCAGCTGAGTCTTCTCTCCAACATACTTCCCTGCTTTCTCATCTCACAGGTCCCTTAATGGCCGTTTGTATTGGATGAAGTTCATAAGGATTTGCAGAGGTTCTCCAGGGCCTCTGTGAGGTGGGTAGGTGTGGCAGACTTTGGGCGGGAGGGGGTGGTCTTGACAGGTGTGTTAGAAGTGTGGGCGTATGGTGGGGTGGGACTAGGGGGTGAGGGACAGAGAGATCAGAGCCATCACTCAGAAAGCGGTCCCCGAATGCAGGCTGACGCGGCTGGGGCCACATTCAGGAAACCCATCGGGATGACAGTGACCTTGGGCAAAGACCCGTGGAGGCAGGTGTCAAGTTCACAGAGATCTTGATAACAGGGCTTTTGCTATCTCCCTCTTCTCGTGCCAGATGTTCAGGAACTTGACCCCCTTTTCTGGCTTTGTCTTATTTACTGTCCCCCGTTCCCCAGCACCTTGCCGTGACCCTCTTTGCTGGTTCCCTTTTCCTGGAATGGGTGGCCAGGGTAGTACCACCACCCAGAAGGGAGCTCCCAATTCCATCCCCTTGATTCCCTCCCCAGCTCCCTTGCAGCCGGAACACCTAAATGCTTTCTGCGACAAGCTCTCTAAATGATTGGAACTTTCTCCCAGATCAGCACTTTTTCATGCTCCATTAGCATTTATTGGTTTGATATTTACATTTGCCGAAGGAGCACCCAGTCCCTGGGTCCCTGGGAGCACACACCGTCAACCGAATAGACTCTAATTGCCGCTCACAACCTCCCTCCCCCTGCCCCTGTCTGCCACCTGCCTTGTTCCCACCCCCCCCCAGTCCCATTAAAAAAAACTCAGAAGGATTATCTTTGCAGACCAAAAGGTCTGCTGATAAACAGGGGCCCTACCCAGAGGAGAGAGGCGCTCCGCAAACAAAAGGGCTGGCAGGGACAATCTGAATTAGTATTGCAGTAGTGTATCTACATGAGAGCTTCTCCACTGGATTCTAACCTCCTTGAAGGCAGAGATCTGTTTTCGTTCTTTGAATTTCTCCATATTCCTCTCCAGGGTGAAGAAACTAGCTCTGCCAACCACGGGTTCTCAAGGAACATTTGTCTGCAGTGGAATTAATCAGAAGTCGCGCCCTCCCTCCCTCTGACAGCTGCAGGGGGAGAGGGTGGAGGAATTATCCAGGGAATGCGAGGGCAATGGGGGCCACGTGATAAGAAGGAGAGTTCTCCCTTGTCCCTTTCCAACGCCCCTGCAGATGTGGCCGAGGAGCCCGGCCCTGCAAGGCCATGGTGGAGGAAGGAGGCTGTGTAGTAATGTGGTTAGGGCTCGGCAAACCCGGCTCCAAAAGCCAGCGCTGTTATGTAACTGGTGTGCGCCTCAGTTTCCTCTGTAGTAAAATGGGAATGACTTCCGGGCTGCTTGTGGGGATTAAGGGAGGTCAGGCGAATAACGGCCCAGGCACACCATGGGTTTAGGAGATGGCGGTTCCTGGGATTTATGCAGACCTGTGGCCCTATGCCCTGTGGGAGTGGAGCCCTAAGCGTAAATCGTTAACTCCTCAAAGGTATGTTTGCTGTGCCCTGGGATTTTCAAAGGGCAGGCTCTCCCAACAGCTCCAGAACCTTGCTACTCAAAAGGCCCGCGGACCGGCAGCAGCCTCACCTGAGAGGCTGTAAGGACGCCCTCAGATGCTCCCCAGGCCTGTCGAATCAGAATTTCTATATTAAGATTCCCTCAGGTGAGTCATATGCACATTAAACTTTGAGAAGCACTTTAGAAACTCCCTGTGAAATCTGCAATGTAGAAATGACTATTCCCATTTTGAGAATGAGATCACTTCCGCAGAGTCAGAGAATTGATGCCTTCTTTTGCCCAAGCTTATGAGCTCTCTAAAAGAGGCCTTGTGACTCCTGGGGGTGGGGGGTCCTGGATCCCTTTCCCTACCCATGGCTGTTCCCTGAAGGACCAGCATACTCCAGGGCAGGGTGGAGATGAGCGAGGCCAGGGGCCAGGGTCTTATCTGCGGCCCCATCGCCGCGAAGGGGGCCAGGTTGGCTGCCGGCTGTCGAAGTGCTGTGTGGAGTCCACCCTGAGGAGTATGGGTTCTTGAACCTGGGGCCTGAGGTGGGATGACAAAGAGGCCAGAAAAAAATGTCGTGTTGAAGTGGAATTTCACACAGGTGGAAACCCTTGACTCTCGTGCAAATATAAAATGACGGCATGTCAAAGATTTGATTTAATTCATTCATTAATGAGGGGACCCTCTAAGATGTTAAAACCGATTACAGTGAGAATGTGAGGGGCTAGGTATTTATAGGCAGTTTAATAGAAGAATTCGGGGGTGAGATAGCTAGGTTAGAAATTATTTGCATCTCTACCAGACAAAAATCTGAAAGTTAAGCAACCTCTGCAGCTATGGGGTTGTAAAATAGCCCAGTCAATAGGAAATCGATCAAAGGTGCCAGCCCCTGCACGGTGCAGCAAGAACACCCAATAATCTCTTTCGCCTATTTCCAATTTTGGATAATTTCTTCTGACACTACCCTCGGTTAGTCCTTGAGAATCCGGAAATTGCTCTTGCCTGAGAATTACCCTCAGAATGGAATGTAGGTCTTGGCAGGAAAGGAGGAATGAAAGATGAGCAAGTGCATCTTCTCGAAGACGGGGAGTGTGCTCTCCCGGCCACCTTCCGTGTCTCCTGCGATGTACCGTGCAACTGCTCTCAGAGGGCGAGAGCTGGCATCGTGCGGGAGGAAACCGACTGCTCACAGAAGGGACACAGCGCGGCCTGCTCCTGACTCCCATTCTCTTTAACCTTGGCTGCCGTACGGAGGCGGATGATGTATCTGCAAACATATGCAGCCTTGTCCAAAATATTTTCCCCTCCTGTATAGTTCTTGCCAATATTGTTAATCTGTGGGTTGACTTCAGACCAAAATAAATCTCCCAGCCCTGGCCACCAGCTAGCTAATTTTACTTTGTAACCAGGGAATAGAAAGTACGGGCCCTTGGCCGACCATTCTGTGTTGATTTGACTTTTTCTCTGCTGCAGTTTCAAAATCACATTTGGAGAAGTGGACCCTCTGTGCATAAGAACAGCCACTGAGAGAAACAACAAAGATGAGCGGGTTGAAAAAGGCAAGTCCTTCCATTGCCCTCCACGTTTGTCTCTCATATCAGGATTCTGATCGTCCCCACTGGCCTTTTCCGTGATGGCTAGAGTTGTAAAATGGACCCCAGAGCAGGATACATGGCCATTCGGGGAGGATTTTTTCCTGGAACTCTCCTGGGTTCTCCTGGACCAGTCCTAGAGGAGGCAAGTGGGTAGAAGCTTACCAAGTCGGCCCTGGAAGGGACCTTGGAGGGCATCTAGTCCAGCCAAGCCAGCTGAAAGGCAGGGTTACCTAGTGGTTGAGCGCACACATTTGAAGCCAGACAGCCCCAGTTTGAACCAGTTCTCCACCACTTCCTAGCTGTGTGACCTTGGACAAGTTTACTAACCTCCGCCTCAGTTTCCTCATCTGTCACATAGTAATCATCCTACCTACCTCAGACAGTTGTAGCGGTGACAAAGTGAATTAACACATAAAGCATCAGGAATAGCACAAAGTGTACAGTAAGCGTTTGATAAGAGAAGGAAATGAGGCTCAGAGGAGAAGCAGCCTCCCCGAGGTCACTCAGGGATTTGCCAAACTGAGCTGGACTCGGTGAAAAAGAGGAGAGGTTACAGCCTCTTGGAAATTCTGACTAATAACTGTTTCTCTGCCTGTGTTACATCGCCCTCGCTCAACACTTGGAGAGAGACCTCATGTGGAAGTCAGGGTACCGCATTCCAGTCCAGGCGTGCAGCTCACCGACAGTGGCCCTCCTAGCTGATGAGCTTGGGGCTGGATGGTCTCTGGGGTTCCTATTGGCACTAACATCTTATAATTTGAAATTAGGGTCTGTACCCTCCATTCAAATCAAGTCTGTCTTTTCCTGCAACACGCTTTACACTGTTTTTTTTTTCTCCCCATTTCCCTCTGACGTTTTGCCCAACTGTGTCCTGTGCTCATCAACACCCGGTTTCCTTTTGGCCCTCCCACTCTGTCCCTCCCCACGTTGGCCCCTCTCCCCTGCTAGGGCAATCATGGGCTCCCACTGGCCCACACCTGAGCCCTCAGTTGCCAGGTTTAAGCTGATTAGACACTGTCTTGGAGGTGTCTTGAAAGTTACCATGTAGGCACCTTGAAACTAGAGACTGGATTTCTTCCTTATCATGGCCCACTTTTTTTTTTTTTTTTTTTGCGGTACGCGGGCCTCTCACTGTTGTGGCCTCTCCCGTTGCGGAGAACAGGCTCCGGACGCGCAGGCTCAGTGGCCATGGCTCACGGGCCCAGCCGCTCCGTGGCATGTGGGATTTTTCCCAAATCGGCGCACGAACCTGTGTCCCCCGCATCGGCAGGCGGACTCTCAACCACTGCGCCACCAGGGAAGCCCCATGGCCCACTTTAAGAGTCTAATAGAGTGCCGTAGGCAGAGTGGCTTATCCATTACGGGTTGCTGACTGGCTCTAAAACGAGTCGGGATGTTGGATGAAATCTTGGATTATCGAGGCTCCCTCTGGAACATTCAGTACAGCTGTCATAGATGTCCTTTGTTCGGGAGAAAACCGGTGTTATCGAACTTCAAAGCTTGATGAAAAGGGTATTTTAGAACAATTAATATTTCAAACTCGAAAACTGCAGACTGCAGCACAGAAACGTTAGATACTTCCTTTGCTGCCTTTCTTTCTCCCCAACCGTATCCCGCAACCCCATCCCCTTTTCCCTAAAATACAAGCCTGGGTCAGATGTTAGGTTGCCACCTGTTGGTGTAACGAGGCATTGCAGCCCAGCTCTACGAAATACTCTAAATGCCTGTAGGGAAGTGTACAGAGACTGAAATGCGGGGAGATGTGATTGTAGAGTCAGGTGTGGCCCAGAGAAATATCTTCTGGATTAGGTCGATCCTGAGGGAAGGGTGAGGGCTAACAGCAGAGGGGAATCCAGGAGTAAGAGAGACAGTACTAAGCCCTCTAAGTGCTGTAGAGGAAAAGCAAACAGTTATTTGGAGGCACTAACTTCTGTAATACCTAATACTACTAGTGTGTAAGTAATAAGACCTCCATCCCACTGGGCTGACCATCAGTGGAATCCTGCCTTTCTCAAACCTTTGCCCTTAGTCAAAGTTGTTGGAGCCCAGCTTAAAACTACATTGAAGAGCAAAGAAAAATGAGGTTTCACTGTATATTTGGGGGGGGCTGCATTTTTGAAAGATGGCTGCCACAATATCCCATATATTTTTCCGCAGTGAGACCTGTCACTCTCCCGTCAAGTAGAGAGGCCTGTGTCTCTACCCCTTTGAACCCAGGTGGGTCCTATGCCTGCTTTGACCGAGAGAATGAGGTGGAAGTGATGCTGTGTGGTTTTTTCAGGACAGGATCACAGAAAGACTTGAAGCTTCCTGAGCCTACTGGAATGCTCACTTTTGGGACAGTCCCTCTTGGAAGCTAGCCACCATGCTGTGAGAAGCCCAAACTACAATGGACAGGCCACACTTAAGGTGTTCCAGTTGAAGCCCCAGTTAAGTTCCCAGCCAGCAGCCAATATTAACTGTCAGCCCCGTGTGTGTGCCATTTTGGATGTCCAGCTGGGTTAAGCCTTCAGGACTCCAGCCCCAGCCAACACCTGACTACAGCTGCACAAGACACCCAGAGTAAAAAACCCCCCAGCTGAGCCCAGTCAACTCACAGAACTGTGAGAGAGAGTAACGAGTTGTTGTCCTAAAGCCACTAGGTTTGGGTGCATGATGTGGCAATAGATACCAAGGACAAGAGCGACTCTGGTTAGACACATAAACCATAGGGTGACACATAATTAGGTATAGTTTTTAAATCTTGGGTTCAGCTTTAGGGCAATGAGTCCCTAACATCGTAGAGCCGTACTATTTCAGTTCACATCTGCTGCCTCTGATCAAAACACTATCTTGCACTTCCTGAGAGAGAGAGAGCACTTCCTGCCAGGTGTCCCCTTGTGTCCTCCTCCGTGTGACTGTGGGGTTCCGTGTCTCTCACACATTCGAGCGTGGCGCTTGGTGCCTTGAGATAGAAGCCATGCTCTTGCCTCCAGAAGGTTTTGTGGGTGGGATTGTGCCATAGACAGCAAGAATCCACCCGCACGTTTTCTTTGAATCAACTTTAGTGATGGATATTTACATATGATACATTAGACCCATTTGAAGTGTTCAGATTGATGAGATTTGACAAACGTAACCCGTGGGACCACCACCCATGTAACCACCACCATAATCAAAGTCTAGAACACTTTCATCACCCAAGATTTTCCTTGTGCCCCCTTTGCGGTCAATCCCCTCCTCCCACCCCCAGCCCCAGGCAAGCACTGATTTTCTTTGCCATTAGAGATCAGTTTTTGTCTTTTCTGGTGTTCCATATAAGTAGAATCATATAGGATGCACTCATGTGACTGCATAATATTTTGTTCAGCATATTTTTGAGGTCATCCATGTGGTGTGTACCTATAGTTAATTCCCTTTTATTGCTGCGTAGTCTATCATTGTATGGATAGATCACAATCTGTCTGTGCTTCTGTTGATGGACATTTGGGTCAGTTATACTTGGGGCTATTATGAATAAAAGTGCTATGAATGTTCATCTACAAGGATTTGTGGTCATATGTTTTCCTTTCTTCTGGGTAAATATCTGAGTGCTAATACAGGGTTATATGATAAGTGTATATTTCGCTTTATAGGAAACTGACATTGTTTTACGTGCCCGCCAGCAAAGTATGAGAGTTCTGGTTGCTCCATATTCTTATTAGCACTCAACATTGTCAGTCTTTTTACTTGTAGCATCCCTGGTGAGTGTAATGGTACCTCATTTGCCCACAGGTTTTTGTATCCTCCATTAGGATGTGACCAGGGACTTGTTTTTTCACTGCTGCATCTCCTAGCACCTGGAAAGGTGCCAACACCTGGAACAGCCCTCAGTACCTGGAACAGCATGCAAGAAATATTTTTGGAATGAACTAGTTCATGTCTCCTCGAGTTTTCGTGTTTCCTTAAGATTTATTTCTGTAGGGGATATTGAGCAAGGAGGAGTTACACACTTACAGTTGTGAAAGATATTGCCAAGTTGCTTCACCCCAAAATGCTGAACCAATTTACCCTCCCACCAACATGAGCTATTGTCAATTGTTTCAATTTTTCTGCCAGTGGAACAGGTTAAAAATGGTATTTCATTTTGGTTTTTATTTTGCATTACTCCTTTTTAAAAGTTTTATTTATTTAATTTTATTTTTGGCTGCGTCGGGTCTTAGTTGCGGCACGTGGGATCTTTTGTTGTGGTGCACGGGCTTCGCTCTAGTTGTGCACGGGCTCCAGAGTGCGTGGGCTCTGTAGTTGTGGCACGTAGGCTCCAGAGCACATGTGGGCTCTGTAGTTCGTGGCATGCGGGCTTAGTTGCCCCGCGGCATGTGGGATCTTGGTTCCCTGACCAGGGCTCGAACCTGCATCCCCTGCATTGGAAGGCATATTCTTAACCACTGGACCACCAGGGAAGTCCCTAATTTTGCATTACTCTTATCGTTGGGTGAAATTGAGCATCTTTTCATATGTTTTGGGGTCTTGTATACTTCATTTGTGATTTGTGTTCCTATATTTTGCTTATGTTTTTTTAATTAATTAATTTTTTAAATTTATTTTTGGCTGCCTTGGGTCTTTGTTGCTGTGCACGGGCTTTCTCTATTTGCAGCGAGCGGGGGCTACTCTTCGTTGAGGTGCGTGGGCTTCTCATTGCAGTGGCCTCTCTTGTTGTGGAGCACAGGCTCTAGGCACGTGGGCTTCCGTAGTTGTGGCACACAGGATCGGTAGTTGTGGCTTGTGGGCTCTAGAGCGCAGGCTCAGTAGTTGTGGCGTACGGGCTTAGTTGCTCCACGTCATGTGGGATCTTCCCGGACCAGGGCTCGAACCTGTGTCCCCTGCATTGGCAGGCAGATTCTTAACCACTGCGCCACCAGGCAAGTCCCATTTTGCTTATATTTTATTGGACTATTTTTTTTCTAATTTGTAGAAACTCTTTGCTTATCAGAGATGGTAACATTTTGCCTGTTATGTATGTTGCAAACATTTTGTGGAGTGACAAGCAGAATGGTCCAATGATGACTCCTGGAACCCTTCTCTTGTTGCCTGCTCAGGCTGAGGACTCCCACCTTCCCCCTAGTGGGAGGGGCTGTGACTGAACCCAACTTTGCATTGGGCTGAGGGCTTCCCCTTCCTCCAGCACACATACCTCCAAGTCTTGACTGTTCCCTGTACGTAAAACCTCTCCAATCTCACACAATTGAAAGGTAGCATCCAGAGTGGGGAGGGGCAGGGTCCCTCCCTGGATCATAGCCCACTGTGCATCCTACATCCAGAGTCCCAGCTCCTTTCCGTGGACTGATGACAGCACAGGGTCCATGTACCTCATCTCGCTGAGCATTTACTTGAAAACTTTCCCAATAAAATCTGGTCTTCGTACCCCTTCCATGTGGCATTGTGGTGTTTGCTTCCACCTTCTCCTCCACATATTTTCTCCCAGTCTGTCATTTATCTTAGACATTGTTCATGATGTCTTTTTTCATACACAAGGTTTTACTTCTACATTGTCAAATCTGTCCGTCTTTTCCATGACTTCTAGACTTCATGGCTTGCCTAGGAAGTTTTTTCTTTACCCCAATCATGTAAAAAATTAGTTTGTGTTTTCTTCTAGTGTTTTCGTAGGTTTTTAAGGTTTTGGTCCTATCTACCCGGAATACACTTTTGGATGTGGGGATGCCCACCTCCCAGGGGTCAACAGCAGAGTTTCTATCCGCAGAGCTGCTCTGAGTATAATGTTCCTGTACTGTATTGGTGATCTATTGCTGCACGTCGAATTACACCAAAACTTAGTGGCTTAAAACAACAGCAAACCTTTATTACCTCCCTGTTTCTCTGGGTCAGGAATTTAGGAGCAGCTTAGCTCCGTGGTTCTGGCTCATGGTTTCTCATGAGGTTGTAGTTAAGATGCTGGCTGGGGCTGCAGTCATCCGAAGGCTTAGACTGGGGCTGAAGGATCCACTTCCAAGATGGCTCACTTATATGGATATTGGCAATAGGCCTCAGTTCCTCACTGGCTGTTGGCAGAAGGCCTCAGCTCCTCACCATATGGACGTCTCCGTAGGGCTCTCCATAGAGTGTCCTTATAACATGGCAGCTGGCTTACCCCAGATAGGTTGATCCAAGAGAGAGCAGGGCACAAGCCACAATGTCTTTGATAATCTAGCCTCAGAAGCCACACTGTGTCATTCCCACAATATCCTATTGATCAGGGGAGGAATATACAAGGACCTGAATAACGGGAGGTGCAGCTCAGTGGACGCCATCTCAGAGGTGAGCTACCACACGTACGCGTTATCCGGCCAACATTTTTGGCTCTGTGGTTCCCGGCCCTGTGAATGAGGGTCCTGTTGGTCCAAAGTACACTCAAGAAAGTGAAGAGCTATCAAAGTCAGACAACTACTCTGAATGTCTGAAAAGGAAATTGGAAATTCTGGCTATGAACATAGGGGTCCCAAAGACTCGTTTCGTTTTGCTGTTTTAGAATCCAGGAGAAAGACAAACTTTTCAGAGTGAATCAAATTGAGTGACGATGGGGCTGAGACTCGATTCTGGGGTTTATGCACTCCGTGACCTCGTCTGCTTTTCTGCAAGCACTTGCTGGCCCTTGCTAGTTATATCGGTCAAAGTCCAATCAAGGATACAGGAACTACTCTAGGTGTTTGGAGCGGATGGAACTTAATGCATAAAATCGTTTACACATGTGATGGAAAACGCCGAGCTAGGCAAGTGCAGGAAGCGTCTGTTGCCCCTGAAGCTGGAGGGAGGGAGGGAAGAGCTGGGTCAGTGGAGTCCGGAAGTGGGCTCACCAGGCAGGAGCCAGAGCTGCGATGCTTCTGTCCCCCGGGATCTGCAGGCACAGAGGTGCTCCAGCTACTGAGGCAGAGAGCAAGGAGGAGAAATTCCCTGGCTTCTCCCTTCCTCCTGTCCTCCAGTCTCCTTCCAGGGCTTTCCACGGATACCAGTGAACATTCAGGCAAAACTAAGCAGAGGAAGCGGGGCGGGAGTGGGGAGTGGGGCATCTGAGGGCACGAGGCTTGGGACTGGCACGTTGGTGTCAGGCTCGTGGCAGATTTTATTTCCCAAAAATGGCCACAACAATATTTCTGGTCCTACTCGTTTTTCTAGAACCCTCCCATCCACAGGTGGAGTCTGAGTCCCCCTCCTCCATCCTGGGTGGGAGGGACTTTGTAATTACCTGCGTGAAGAGAATGAGTCAGACGTGATGTTAATTGTCTTCTGAGGCTGGGTCATAAAAGGCGATACAGCTTCCACCTGCGATGCTCTCCCTTCGAGCCCAGCTGCCGAGCTCTGAGCAAATCCAAACCAGCCCGTGCGAGAGGCTGCATGGTGGGGGCTCATGGGGAGAGGAACCGAGGCCCTCAGCCGCTGACCAACGTTATCCCCCAGCCCCCAGCCTCTGAGTCCGCCCGAGGAGGGTCCAGACGACACAGAGCAGAGACAAGCTGTCCCCGCTGTCTGAATTCCTGACCTGCAGAATCTGTAAGCATAATTATTTTATTTTTTTTAGGTTACTAAGTCTTGGGAAAATTCGTTCCACCGTTTATGATAACTGGGACAGCTGGGTCGAGGGGCAGGAGGCGTTCGGGTGCATATTTGGGGCTCAGGGCAGTGTCAGCCTCCTCTCAGATCTTCTGTTTTGGGGCAGAATCCCAACCAATAACTGGCATTGGTTTGAGAGTACACGGCAGCTGGTCTCACTCTCCTGCAAATTCTTAAAACTTTGTTTTTGGAACCATTCCCTTGAAGAATTCATAAATTCATTTTACACATATTCATTGAGTGCCTAAGCCGTTAGGCACCGTTCCTAACTTCAGCCAGAAAACAAATTACCTTATAAGTAAATACATAATTACAAATTGAGATAAATGCTCTGGAGGAAAAATGCCAGATGCGGATGCTAAGAGAGTATAACCGAGGGTCTAGATTTTGTTTGGGGTGTTGACGGAGCCTCTCTCAGGAAGTGAGATTTCTCTCCCCCTCTCTCTCTCCCACCCCTCGCCTTCTCCCCTTTTCTTTCCAAAACTTACTTCTTCCAAGCCGTGGAAGGTTTTATAATACACTTTTGAAAGTTAGCAAAATGAGATTTCCTACTGAGAAAGATAGCCGGACCCACATATACTAAAAAGCATTTACTCATAAGAAACCAGAAATCATTGGGGTTTTTTTCTGGGTGACCCATGAAAACTAGGGACCCCGCCATCCCTCACCCCAGAGAGTGCCTGGACGGTGCTTACGCATCAAATTTGTTACTGAGTTTTAGGAGCCTGGTTGACCGGTATGTGTGGCTGGTCTCGGCTTTAATGATTTCTCCAGAAGCTCAAGTGTAGTAGTGAGACGGCTCCAGGGAAAGAGAAGAAGGGAGGTTGCGGGGAGGCTGGGGAATTGCACCTGGAAAGCCCAGGGAGCAGGGACTGGGTTGCAGGCTGGGGGTGAGAATGAGGGGCAGGTCAGGTCCGCATCACAGCCACCGGGCTGTGCTCTGTGTCTGTCACTGCCTAGGAAGATGGGCCAAAATTGCTACTTCCAGCTGCCTCCACAGGGAAAGGGGCAGCTCTGAGCCCATTCCCAAGGCTGTTGACTTCCCTATGAGTGGAGAATGCGGGTTCCTCTGGAGATGGGGTTGGGGTCTTTCCATCTGCTGCCTTTTCACAGGGCTGTCCTGGCTGTGGTGGCATCTGTCTGGTCCATCAGCATTAAGCTCACACACAGCCTCTTCCACCTGTAGTTGTCCATGGGCTTGAGAGTAGACACTGGTGGGTCACTCCATCTTCTCCACCGCTAGCTGTACCTGCGCCTCGGCTGCCGCCTGCATTCGCACAGCCTGGTTCATCAGCCCCGGAAGGTGCTCACTCAGTGTCCCTTGCAGGGACCAGGGTGGTCATTAAATAACACGCAGCCAGACCTCAGAGCCGCAGCCCTGCTTCACGATACTGTGAGGGACATCCAGGGCTCCCACAGCAGACAGGAGGTACCTCTCGGGTCTATGTCCCGGGCCTTGCTGCTGACTCGCTCCATCCAGGTCTGTTCCCTGTTCTGATTAATCCCCTCCCCCAAGATACAGAGGCCAGACTTACAAATGGGTGATCACTGTGGACACGCCCACCCCTAACTTTGTTGGGGGCCAGGACAGGAGTACGCACAGAAGCCCGCATTCTGTACCCCTAAATATTTCAAAACTAAAATCAACCTTCCCGAAGTACGTTGACAAATGTAACTTCACAGTGACGTGGAAAGCCAGGTGTGGATTTCGAATTCTTGGATTCCGCAGCGTTCTGCACCAGAGCACAGCCGGCTCCTGGGCCCCCTCTGCCCGTTGCCGTTCCATACTGGGAGGGACCTGGTGCCTCTAAATGCTCCCCCCTCAGGCCCACCTGGTCCAGCGCTGTCCACTTTCTGCCCTCCCCCAAATCCCCCTGCAAACAGTCACCCCTGGGCCACCTAAGGGGGGGTGTGAACAGATGGCAGTGTGTGCCCTTGGGAGGACAGACGAGGGGAGGAGGCCTGGGCAGTCCCTGGTAGTGCACTTAGGGCTGTCTGGAGGGGAATTCTGGGGTCCCAGAGGGGAGAAGAGGCTCCAGGTGGGTGTCCCTTTGGTCCTGTGGGTGCCTTGCCTTATGGGCAGGGGTGTGGCCAGAGCAGGGCCCTCTAGAGCACGGGACCCAGGCCAGGGGCCTTGACTGCCCAGTTCTAAGGGTACTTCTTATCCTAGAGAGCAGACCAGGTCGTGCTCGGTAGAATTGCTCTGTGTCCTTCGAGCTGTCACTCATTTCTTTTTCCGTCTTCCTGTGCGGCTACTAGGAAACTTCATTTGGGCTCTTCACCTGCCTGGCACCCATTGTTCCAAGGGTGACATTCGAAATATTTCACCGCCGTATAGGACAGGCAATGACCAATCAGAGCAGATGCCTGCCCAGTGCTGAACCGGGGTTCTTGAGGTCCTCTGCTGGGCTAGGTATTGACCCTCCGGTTGCTAGGTCATAGGGAGATAGAGGAGGGGTCAGGGCCACAAGGAGGGACATTGGGGGTGAGGCTTGGGGAAGGGGCCACTTATCATCAGTGTGGAGATATTCCACTATTTTAACAACAGTGCTGCCATACTCGTGAATATCAACTCTGCCTTCTCCTCGTCTTCCTTGGATTTTATTAGGGGCAGCCTTGTGTGCAGGTAAAAGACTACATCCCCAGCTTTGCTTGAAGATTAGAGGTGGCGCATAATAATAAGGGCAAGTCTTCAAAGGGGCTCTTTTAACTGGGAAGAGTCCCTTTTGCCCCTTGCTCTTCTCCTTCTCCCTAAACCTCTCCTTCCTGTGATGATGATGGCTGGAGCTCCAGCAGCTATCTTGTGACGTTGAGGATGGAAGCCCCATGCTAAGGAAAGTAAAGCAGAAACATAGAAGGCGCTTGGGACCTTCTATGATGACTGTAGAACAGCCATACCAGCCCTAGACTGCCTACTGCTGGACTCTTTTTTATGAGAGAGGATAAACTTCAAGTTTGTGTAAGCCTCTGTAGTTAGATCTCTGTTGTTAGTATTTAAATTTGATTGCTAACTCATTTCAGTTCCAGTCCTCAAGGCCTGTGTCTCCAGGGTCAGGGATGTGGCCAGAAAAGGAATCTTCATCTGACACGTGTCTTCCGTGGGCTAGATGTGTTTTGTCAGCTAATCCTTAAAACCATTCTGGCGACTAATGTTACTTTCCTCACTTTAACAGAAAACTGGTCTGAGAGGTTATGTGGCTTGACTAGTGGCAGAACTGGGGCCAAGGCCTGGGTCTTGCGGGCTCCAGGGCCCACACCTGCTCTACCACACTTCTCATCTGTGCAGGCAGGACTGGGGTCCCCTTCCTGTTCGTCTCTGGGACGGTGCCTGGGAGGTCCTCCAAGGCTGGGCAATATTGGGATGGCCTTTGCAGATCCCACAACACCTCGCTGGCATCCTTCTGTCCAGGAAAGTGTGTGTGTGTGTGTGTGTGTGTGTGTGTGTGTGTGTGTGTGTGTGTGTGTAAGGAACCGTTTAAAAATCTCCTCTGTCTTTCCCTGTTATTATCCTTGAGAGAAAAGCCCAGAAAATCTCAGCAGGGCTATGGGATAGAGGGTAGGGGGGAGCTGTGAGGCAGGTAGCAGGCAGCCTTCTGCCTTCCATGCTCAGTGAAGGAACATCCCTGGGCAGAGGGAGAGTAGGGGAGGGAGGGAGGCACCTCTGAGATGCGTGTTCGTGCTCCTCAGGCTTGGAGGTCGCTGCGCCCCGTGCTCAGCACACTCGTTCCCTTGAAGCCCAGCTTCTCCGTGCCCTTGAGGGCAGCCGGGGCAGAGGGACCATTCTCTGAGGCAGCTTTGTTGTCCCAAAGGTCATTAGTGGATGCTGGTGGAGGCCCAGCACCTGGAGGCTGATTCACATCCCTTCTTGGACCTCTCTGCCCGGCACTTCCATTCCTAGTACATTTTGAAGGGATAGAAAACTGTCCAGAAGCCTGAAGCCCTCGCCTTCCTGCAGCTCAGCCCGAGTTCTACATGACCTGTTTGTCTCTTCAGGGCCCAAGGCCTCTCCCTCCTTCTCCCCTCCATCTGCCCAGGGACTTGCAGAGATGAAGCAGCCTCTGACGGCTCCCAGAGAGAGCCTGCCCTTGGCAAACCTGCTTCCCGAGCACTGGAGGAAGAGCGAGCAGACGCAGGCCTCCTCCGGGACGCCTCTAACGGTGCCTCCCTGCCCCTGACTCCCCTCGGAAAACGTGACCCACCAGGCCCTCCCGACAAGCCCCCCCCACGCCCTCCCATCCGCCTCCCCCTTCACAGGCTCCCAGGCGGAGGAGATGGAAAACAGAGCCTCCTGAATGTTTAACTTCAGCGGAGATGATAATAACTTTCCCATGGACGCAACTGTATCCTTTCCCTGTGTTCCTGCAGGGATCCCGAAACTCCATACGGTTCTCATTTGCAGCTCGTTCCTGAGGAGGCCTCATTTCCTCGCCACACACCCCTGATGTGGTCAGGGTCTCCCTCCCACAGCCCAGCGGGGGTGTGGGTGCGGGCGTCCCTGAGCTTCTCCCTCATGGCTGCTCCCCGCCCCCCGTCCCAGGCCCGCTTTGCCTACCTGGCCTTCCCAGACCGCTCTCTTGTCCTCTGCCCTTCATCTAAGCCCCGGCCCCCAAGGCCTCAGGCCTTTAAGTCCCTGCTCCGCACGCCCAGGGGTTGTGGTCAGGGCTGGGCTGTTCCTCAGGCAAAGGTACCCTTTCTTCGAGAAGCTTCTCCCACTCAGCCTGGTAGGCAAGTTGAATGACTCCAAGGGTCACCATCAGTGTGTATCCTATGTGAATGGCCCCTCCCGGAGTTAAAGCCAAACGGCTCTGCTGGTAGGCCCTAAAAGGAGACTAGATTCAAAGCCCTTTCCGGTCAGGAAAAGACCCCAACCCCCTCTTGCCAGGTAGCTCTGCCCCGCAAACTCTTTTCACCACACACCTCTCATAACTTTGATCTCGCAG